AGCTGGACTGAATTGGCATTGTCTCTTGGAGTTCCTTGGGCTAGGCCTGACATCAATCAAAGTCCTCCAGCCACAGCAGTGTGAATCCCTCAGGGAGGTGCCAGTCTCATCCTCTTGTTCCTCCCACACCTTTCTGGTGAGCTAAGAAAATGTTTATCTCCCTGAGCTTGGCCTTCATAATTCCATTCCATCACAAAATTGGGAGTCAGAGCAGAGATTTGTGTTCCGAGGAACTCTTATTGCCACCACTGGTGGAAGCTGAGTGTAAGCCACCCAACCACAAGCATCCTTGCCCTTCAGATATTCTTGGAAAGACTTGGCTTTCAGTAGCATCCAGAGAAAAATCCCACCCTGTGGTACATGGTGGCTCCCCACTCCATCACTCCTGGCCTACAGGTCCTCCTCCTCCTCCTCCACACTGGATCAGTGTTTCTCAACCTTGGCAACTTTAGATGTGTGGACTTCAACTAAGATTGAGAAACCCTGCATTGGATGAATACCAGAAGGCTTGAGATGATAACATCAATGGCTCTGGACACAAGGGGGTTCCCGTCCAATTTCCACAGAAAAACACAACCAGCAATAGCTGGAAAGGAGATTTGGGGGTGGGGAGGACACAGAGCCCAGGAAAAGCACTGGCCATCGCTTAGACTGGTCTCTGATTTCTGACAGCCATAAATAAAGTTAGAGCTTGGGATGCTGATGATAGAAGGTAGTGATAATGAGAGGAGAACAATCTACCCAACCAGAAGACTCAAGGTGTCGTGAACGTCTTGTTGGAATACATCAAATCAGAGAATGGATGGCTTTGCTTTCTTCAGCACATACGATGTTTCTATGTGCAGGAGGTTCTTTAGGTGGCAGGAAAGAAGGAACTCCGCAAAGACCCCAGTAGTTTAACCCACCCCCAGACAAACTAAAGCATTCCTCAGACAATTTCCATGGATTCATCCCTGCATGCAGGTCAGACGTTTCTACTGGTTGGTCCCTCTGCAACTCCAGAACCTGCCTCAGAATTAAACCCAGACAAGGTGGATCAGCTGGTCAGTGAGAAGCCAGTCTCTAGAACTGCACTTCAGTGAGGCTCCACTGCCCACAAAGAGCAGGGGAGTGCATTCACCCACATGGCTCGTGCAGCGTTTCTCAACCTCAGCAACTTCGAGATGTGTGGACTTCAACTCCCAGAATGGACGGAGGGATCACTAAGGAGCTTGGCCACAACCTCCCATCCTGCACGCAAGTCAAGGATCGAGAGATGGCTGCTGTTGGCTCCATACCCCGCTGAGCACACAGCGGACTGTGACGTAGCACACGTGGGACAGATTCGATTTCCGAGTCTGAACATAACCAGGTATGACATTCTTAAGGGAGATTACATCATCTTGTCATCCTGATGAGTTACTTGCCATATCACACCTGTGTGAAGAGTCTCCTGTGTGGGACGTGCAAGATATTGTAGAAATATTTGGGGATTGTACACGGCAGAGGAACAAAAGTGCAGAAGCTAAGATGTGAAACACCTGGGTACATCTGGTTGAATGTCTTGATCCATGAGCCTCAACTTACCAAGGGCGTCTATTACAAATTTGGATGGATGGATGGATGGATGGATGGATGGATGGATGGATGGATGGATGGATGGATGGATGGAGACACAGCCTAATTCTAACCATATCAGGACATTAGGAGTCAAGTGTGGCACTCTTATTAAGGAGGTGAAGAATTTTGTTTGATTAGCCTCCATGCAGAATAATTCTTTATATAAATCATATAACTGGCCCAAGACTTTGGCCTTCTGAAGTTTAATTGCTGCAGATGTGATCACACGCACAAGAGCTTGCATGCTTAACCATGCAAGGGGCGCTCCAAAAGACTTTTGCATTAAGCTTGCGCAGGTGGAAGATTGAAAATGGATACCCAGATATTTGAAGGTTTTAACCTGCTCATTTCTGCTACAGGGGGAAGAGTTCTAAAATGTTTTCTTGAGAATACCAGAATTTTTGTTTCTGAAAAGTCGAGGTCAAGAAATTCCTAACTTCCTCCAAAGTGTTTGCAAGGGGCAAAATCGAGGGCAGCCTTTGCCCTGTGGGAGGGCTGGAGTATTTTCCAGCTAAATGATGTAAAATTACACATTTTGGGCTGTTTTGGAGTAGCCAGGCCTAAACCCTGCCTGCTCTCGAGCCAAAATATGTTCCGTGCAAATCCATCCTGAAAGCTTAGTGTCCAGAAATCTGGCACACAATTTGCTTATTCCTGGTAACAAGCTAATTGGACAATAATTGGCAGGGTCCTGCTTATTGCCCGTTTTATAAATTGGAACAGTGATCAAATTCAGCCAGGCCTTAAGGATGTTTAGGAAGCCGTAGGAGTGAAAAGAGGGGCCAATCCAGAGACCAAGCAAGATGGGTTAGAAAAACTCAAGAAAAAGGTCAGGACCTCCAGATCAAAATGTGTCATTTCCTTTCACCTCCCTTCCAGAGAAGATATAGGCCACGTTATTTAATACGCTGCATTTCTTTCCTTAGAAAATGTGGTTTTTGTAAGGAGGGGGAAATGCCTAATTTATGTAGATCTCAGTTGCAAACAAAATAAATTGATGTGGATTAAATGTGCATTTTTTTCTAGACAATACAAATGTGGTTATGGAGGGAAGAAGAAACAGCAACTCTCAATCAGCATAAATTATGTCAGCTCGGCCCTTTTGTCTAATTCCTCTTTTTTATCACATTTTCAGAACTGCGGCTCTTGGCATTATTCCCTTCCTGCTTGACACAAATGGTGGAAATGAAAAGTCCTCAAGTGCTGAATAAGCTGTGCTAACCCATCCATGTGCCGTTTGCACAAGGTAACCTTGGTTGGTTTTTTGCTCTGTGCAAGAGGGCTTGCTTTGTTTCAGCGAGGCTCCAGGAACCAGATGCCACAAGATCCTGCTCCCCACGTTCAGCTTCCTTAAATCAAAAAGAGATTAATTCATGGGCAGAGACCTAGCTACAGGAAGAGACTCTGCTAATACGCCCAAAACTTTCCAAGCCTTGGTCCCAGCCAAATCTCGCACCTGGCCAGAAACATTTGCTCATCAGCGCTCCGCAGCCATTTCCTCTTCAGGATGCAAAGTCCCAGGGAGACCTTCTGGAACACGGAAAGCCTGTCCCAGAAGCAGCATGGCTGGTCCCCAAACGTCCCAGGACCGAAAAAGAAACCGGCCAGGGTCCTGCCCATACAGGCCCCAGCACCCTCTTCCCCACTATGAATCTTCTCCTGGCCAGGTGGGCAATTTTAAGCTACATGAGATGGTAAACTCCTCCCATCGCTTTATGTTCTAATAAAACGTGGCACCCAGAGCAGTGTTTCTCAACCTTGGCCGCTTTAAGAGGGGTGGACTTCTGGGAGGCTGGCTGGGGAATTCTGGGAGTTGAAGTCCACCCCTCTTAAAGCGGCCAAGATTGAGAAACACTGGTCCAGACGCACCTTTGCAGCAACGTCCAACTTCTGACTTCCTTTTAATTCAAAGGATATTGACATGGGCATCGAGGCCTGTGGCACCACCCCGCCTCACCCTAATTTACAAGGGCTGGCTTAAGCCAAAATGCTCATTTCTGCTGAAATGCGAAGCCGGAGAAACCAGCTAAGGACAGAGAAAAATTAAACAGAGGTTTTAATTGCAACCCAACATTTTATGTACACATTTAAAAGAGCTTTAAAAAAGGCCTCCCTCTGGCAGCTGGCAATCTTCAACATCAGGAAAAGTATCTTTTGTTCACAGCCCCGATACGTAATTTTCCCAACTGCAATTAAGACCCGAAGAATCACTCCAAACTATCGCAAAATCACGCTCCTCTTTCCATGGACTGGGGGCTAAACGAGTGTTTTCCAAACTTGGCCACTTTCAGAGGTGTGGACTTCATTTCCCAGAATTCCCCAGCCAGCATGGGGAATTCTGGGAGTTGAAGCCCACACCTCTGAAAGCGGTCAAGTTTGGAAAACTCTGGGCTGGACTAAAGGGAAGTTCCTCGCAGTTTGCTACCAAAAACGGGTGGCTCGTAATGCATTTGCTACCCCAACGCGCCATTTAAAAATGTCCAATTACCAAACGTTTTACATGCAGACATGGAAACAGCAGGAAAAATTCACTTTGTGTATTTCCAAGTCATGGAGGGAGAAGAGTGTTGCTGCTTTAACATCTGCATACGTCAACCCGCTGTCAGAAGCAGATGCAGACAGTGAAAAAGAGAACTAAGATGAATGTCGAAAGACGTAAACATCTGTCTTACAATGTTCCGTGCAGGAATCCTCCGAGATGGGAAGAAAACAGCTCAGCGTTATCATCTCGTTTTTCTCTGAGATGATGTCAACCTTCCAGGCAGGTATGCAACAGGTGCAGCTCTGATTAGCCACTCCCATTATCCCTGTTCAAATTCTTCCATTCTGGACAGGCCCCTAGCAAACATGGCGGTGCTGACTGTTGCAATCCAACACATCGCAAGAGGCCGGGTTGTTCACGACTAAAGCCTTCCCCAAACGGTGCCACCTCGACCTGCAGACGGCCAAGAGACCCACGGGGTTCGGTGCGCTCGCAGGTGGAAAAGAGCAGGTGCGTCCTTCATCGCCACTGGGTGCACGATTGTGGTTTTCCCCTTGCCACCGTCTCACCAACTCGTTTTAAACGGAAAATCCGATGTAGACGGTTCTCTAGAGGGAAAGAAATAAGAGCTCTATCTTCGTTCTTGCCATCGTTCTTGGACACGCGGTTAAGATCAATCTCGAGTGGCAGCATCAACAAATTGGAGGTTGCAGAACAATGTTTCTCAATCTCGGCAGCTTTAAGATGTGTGGACTGCAACTCCCAGAATTCCCCAGCCAGCGTT